CAACTGGAAGCAAATTAGTTTCAAATTTCCTGGAGGCCCCTCTTGCCCTGCACTGCACACGGTGATGTAAATGGAAGCACTTTGAGCACTTGGAACCAGAGCCGAGCCAGCCGAGCCCAGGAACTGCAGCCTCAGCCCCTCACAAAGGCAGAGCAGTCTGCTCTCCGGCTGTGCTCAGCCTCAGTCGCTCTCTACCTTGGTGGCTTACCGAAAACAGCCACTGTAGGGCTTTTCTATAATTGTGAAAACTACTTCCAAGGAGATGACTGAGATGCCGGGAGTTAGCTTTAATGTAACCATTCCCCCAGTGCAGCAGCAGGAAGCCGGCAGAGGCTCAGAGAGGATCGTACCATCCTGGGTGACATCAGAGGTGGGGCTGTCATCCTAGGATTATGCAGCATTTTCTCTGATGCTGGAATGACACACATGAACCGAGACGGGCTGGTTCCCTTTAAAAGCATTTAATTCTCACGCTGTTCCAACGGAAGAGGCAAATGCAAAAACACAGCCCAGAAGCCGCTTCCATGACATCAATCCTGAGCTGACAGTCCTTATCTCACTTGTAAGTGCTGCTGTCACCCAGTCATTTTACTAATGATTACACTACGGTTCCTCTGATAAATTAATATTTAATGGGCAATTGATAGTGCTTGAAAATATGACATGAAAAGATTGAAAGACGTTAAGATCCAGTTTTAAAAGCAATGGCATAAACTTTTACATCGCTAATAGTACTTTGGATGCATACAACACTTTTCAAGCAATTTCAATAAAAGCACTCATTTTATAAATAATAACATGAAACTTAACGCATGGTCAAAAACATAATACTGACCCTTGGGCTTGGTATAAATACGAAGAATAATCAAATCTTAGGCTTAAAGTGTTCCTCTGTGCTAGACCACTCACCTATCCCCAGGGTTGATCCCCAGCACTGAAAAATTAGAAAGTAACCCATCTTCAATATCATTAATATTCTAATCAGCATGAGAACAAAGGCACTTCAAGGTTATTTTTTTCCTATTCTCTACACTCAGTGAGCAGCAATCAACCAGGTGCCAGAAAACATATTTGCTTTAAATCAGAATGTCCATTTTTATAAATAATTAGATTGGAAACTGTTTAGCAAGACACCACACTAAGCAGGTACATTTTGGGAATCCATCTAATCCTTCTAGCAGCCTCTGGGATAGCTACTATTATTAACCCATTTTACAGATGAGACCACTAACATACAAAAGAGGTATGAGTCATCTCAGATCAGGTGAGTAAAACTAGACCACTGGAACTCAAACACGACACTACAGCTCTAAAGTCCACCCTCTGTACCACCAAGCTATACTCCTTCCTAGAAGCTTGCATGCCAAAGAAAGAATTATGAAAGAAGATTATTAGTTTCAGGGTTTGAAAGTATAGCAAACCAAATGGGCCCATCCCTCAAGAAGACTAATTCATAAACAGGAGGACCAAGATTAGATGGTGTACCCAGGGACAGCAGACTAAGTAACAGAAATAAAGCCGAGAAGCTCAGCCTCACAGCTGACGCCTGTCTTGCATTGGGGAAATGGCTTAAAATCTCCCAGCTTCAGTCTCTTGACCTCTAAGCTAGGGATGCTTAGCTTACTGATTAGTATAACACTGTGGTAAAAGCACATGATCTGGTCTTGTAATCTAGACTTCATTACCTTATAATTATGTCACTTTAAGAAAGTTATTTCACCTTTCTAGTCCTCAGCTTCTTCATCCAAAAGCCATAGAAATAATAGGGTTACTCTAAAGATTAAATAAAGCATGCATACAAATAAACCACGCAGATGAGCGGTTTTACTATATCTTCTACTATACCCAGTAAAAGCTCAGCCGTAATAATAACAACAATGATTACCGATAACTTCTATTTCCTGGGGTAGGGGCAGGGCCTCACTAAATAGCCCAGGATGGTCATAAACTCCTGATCTTCCTGCCCCAGTCTCCTGAGTACTGAGTGTACAGGTGTGTGCCACCATGACTAGCTTATTTTGAACTAAACGGCCCAGTTCTTCCCTCTCCAAAACTCTCACTAAGGAAACCTGGTAGGATTTATTTTTCTGGGGGAGGGATACTGGAAAGGCAGAAAGGACAGCCTTTGTTGACCTCATCCAAATATTAACCAGTCCACAAATCACCAGTTCCCAACGAGATGCAATCTGAAATTGGCGGCAGCCATCCAAGATTCCTTACAAAGAGAGAGAGGAACAGACACCCTATGCTCCTCCTCTTTTTCCTTAAGCATGGGCTAGAGAAGAGGGGGCCAGTATTGAAGCAGTCATCCCGAATGAAGACCATCCCACCAGCTAGGGAAGCAAAAAAGAACCCCATCAAATACCCACCAAAGAATCTTGCAGCCCTATTATCATTTGTACTAGAGGGAATAAACTCAAGTTATCTCACTTCAGTTTTCTAATATATGCAACTTACACCATCCTAACTGACTCACAATCTAAGGCCAGTGGCTAAGGTCTGGGCTATATCCCAGTACTTCCCTTCTATTAAATTTTCTCAGTATACAACTTTTCTGAAGCAAGTCTAACTGCAACCACAAAGCATGTGGAAATGGAGTCTGGAGAACTCTGGGTAGAATTCCTATTATATTTGACTTGATGCACTCTGGTAGTCAACATAATACAACTCATCTGCAGTTACCTTGTTTTCTCTCCTGGTTCTAAAATCAGAGTCTAACTTTAGACCTCTACCTCAGATGTCTGGCTTAGCAGGTTTACAGGTACTTCTTAATTTACTAATGATTGAGTTTTCTTTTTTTCTATGACATTGTCTCATTAGATTCAGTGTTCCCACTCAGTAGAAGAGTGAGGTAGACTGAAGCTTAGAAGAAAGGTCTGGTCTGGATACCTAAGATCACCACTGTGGAGTCATAATTATGGCTAGTAGAATCAGTGCAGAGACTCACTGGAATATCATTTCATGATTGCAACATACAGTTACACGGGATATCTGTCAGTTTTCATCGTAAATCAACTCTGTGGGGCAAGTGTCTCACTTTCCCCCACAGTTACTAACTGTTTTAATTATACCAAAAAACTAATTGTAAAATTTGATTTCAAGCTTGTTGTAATTTCAGAACTCAGAGACTAGGAGAACACTGAGTTTGAGGACGGTGTGGACAACATAGTGAGTTCAGGAGAAGCTTGAGATACTTAACAAGATCATGTCTCAAAATAAATAAATAAATAAACTTTGAATACAAAGGACTGGAAAAACAAGACATAATGCCTTTCCCAAACCATATCATCAAAGTAATGGAGCAAAGGTCACCTTGAGATAATTGTAACAGAATGAGGAAAAATGTAAGTAAAACATGACTAGAAACAGGTTTGCATAGTCCAGACAGTTTATACCATATGGATGTCTGAAGAGGCACCTAGACGGGACCTGAGTCTCAGGTGATGAATGGAAATACCTGCATTTTGCATGAAGGGTAAATGTGTGCTACATCTTCAAGAGACCATCTGGGTACTGTGCCTTATGTTCTCCCACACGGTAAGCCATTTCTAGTAATAATTGCTGTTAAACACACACACACACACACACACACACACACACACACACACACACACACCGTTTCTTCAGTCCAACCCACTTAAGTCTGTCTCCTACAGGTGCCACCAGAAGAAGGAAGCCTTAACTTGGGAGAAAGAGTCTCACTTTCCTATGGTCTGGAATGGGTCTGAACAAGTCTACTCTCTAAATCTGTTCCTACTCTCACCTGGAAAGCAGATCCTGTCCTGGAGGCAGAGTCAATTTCTGACTATGTTTCATATGTTCCACGTTACACATCCAACATGTCAAAATCATAAAGATTGCCTTCTATGAAAAACTAGCTCCTGATAAAGAATTCTGTTGATCGATTTCTAAAGGTCTTATAATAAAAAAAAAAACCCAGAACCAGATACTGGGGTGAATGCTGAAAGATCAGAGACAAAGGAACAAGCCACTGCCACGTCTTACTTCTAGGACTTCTTAGACTGAAAGCCGAATGAGCTTCCTCAGCCGAAAAGACTTCTAACTAAAAGGGATACTTCTGCCAAAAAGCCTTTAGTTCCTGTCTCCTCACACCTTAGATACCTTTCTCCGCCCAGTCATCATTTCTTGGGACTAAAGGCATATGTGCTTCCCAGTACTGGGATTAAAGATGTGTGCCACCACTGCCTGGCTCTGTTTTCTCTCCTAGACTCATGTAGTTCAAGGTGGCTTTGAACTTTGAATGACAGATGGATCTCTGCCTCCCAAGTCCTAGGATTAAATGTGTGGGTCACCACTCCATGGCATCTATGTTTAATCTAGTGGCTTGTTCTGTCCTCTGATATTCAGGCAAATTTTATTAGGGTACACAATATATCACCACATTTCCTCTTTTTGTCTAAAATAATAATAGAAGGTTATAAGAAAAACTATATACAGTAAGTATAGTAAGTGTATACAATATATACAGTCAAGAATTACATTAATGTCCAGTCCATTAACATTTGACATATTCAGAGAAAATACTCCATTATTTATCCTATTTTGGTGAGTCCAAAATGTACCTAATTCACTTTCTATCCTAACTTGTATTAAACTGAAAACTATCTTTTGAGGTTTTTGAATTTACACACTTTATAAACACCTCTCTAGTGAGTTTCTTTTCTGAATTTATTAACAAGGAAAACTATAACTATCTAATCTTCAACTCCCTCAGAGACCCAAGAAGGAAATGATATTAACTGAGTAAGGAGGAAATGCAAACAAGCAACTTCCAAAAAAAAGTGAGAATTTTCCAACACGGCAGAAACTATCATAGGTTGCAAGAAGCCCTCTGCAATTTTAATGAGCTGCTGATAGATCTGAATGGAAAGGTCGCTTAGCACCTGCCGATATTCAGTGAGGTCAAAGTTCTTGAGACAGTGCTCATTCTGCTTTGGAGTGCTCTGCGTCATGAAGCCCTCATCCCCACCATACTGCTTCAAACTGTGAAGGAAGCAGCAGGTGTTGGATAACCGGAATGATGTCATCTCAAAGTCATCATTGTGCTTCTTGAGGACTTTCTTAATGCCATTGATGGTGGAGCTCAGCCACAAGTGTACCTTGAGGTCATCGTTGGTGTAATCTGCATGCCTGATGCACACGTAGAGGATGTATGCAGGCAGACAGGGCACAGTGCCGGTATACCTGATGCACATGTAGAGGATGTATGCAGGCAGACAGGGCACAGTGCTGGACAGCATCTGGGCTTCAGATCTGTCACCAGGTTCCGGATGAGGAGGGCCTCGTCCTCTCTGCGGTACTCCAGCATGCCTTGGAAGTCTTTTCGCTCGACTGTGACCTGTCTTGTGCGTTCATGGTGTTTCCTGTCACTCTGGGCCAATGCCTGGGCAGCTTCTAAGTCCTGGGCCTTCCTCGTGTACTTCAGCTGCTTTTTCAGCTTCCTCTCCTTCTTTTCCTGCTTTTCTACCAATTCTTTAAAATCCAGGTTCTCATGGGTGAGTCCAGTTATCTCCTGCTGGACCCCAAACTCCACCTGGGCCTGTGGGGAGAGCAGCAGGGTCTGGCAGAAGGTCTGCTGCTGCTTGTCCATCTTCTCTTCCAGGGCCTCCACCTGGGCCTTGACACGCTCCGCCTCCTCCTCATGCTCCAGGTTCTGGGCCTGCAGCTGTGCCTCGGGCAACCTGTTTGTCCGGCAGACACCATGATAGGCCTCAATGGCATCTCCCTGGTCCACACATTTTTCACTGTTGAACCAACTTGTTCTGGCATTGATGTTCGGCTCCATGTGCTTGCCAGCCAGCCGGCGATGGTCAGCGTTCATGATCTGGGTCCTGAGGATCAGCACCTCCTCTTTGCGGACCTCCAGCTCCTCACTGGCCAGCTTGAGCTGGCTCAATAGAAGACTGTAGCTGTCTAGGGAGCTGTGAGTGGAGTTGTCCTGCATGGACAACTTGGCCGGAGACAGCTTTCCTCAGCTCATTCAGGTTGTTCTCCGACTTAAGCTCTGTGTCTTCAGACTGTTGTAGGCCAGATGCGCATCCTGGTCCACATCACAGCCATTGTTTTGTTGTTCCATCTGTACTTTCTCGCTGTCCTGCTGCTCCTTTTCTAGCTGCACCTGCAGCTTCTTCCTCTCCTGCTCAGGTTCCTGCATTCTCTTCTGCAGCTTCAGGAAGACAGTCATGTCCATCGCTGCCTTCGCTACACCAATCTCCTCCACCTGCTGAAGGGCATCCTCACTGTCTCCAATCTCAGAAGTGGAAATGGAGGGGTAATGGGAATCAGATTCTAAGCTACTTTGATTTGATGGGTTCTTCCTGAAAGGCATCCTCAGTGTCTCCAATCTCAGAAGTGGAAATGGAGGGGTAATAGGAATCAGATTCTAAGCTACTTTGATTTGATGGGTTCTTCCTGTGGCCCAGAGTTTGCTCATCTCAGAGGTTCTCATATCTCTGCTCCAGCTGGGAGTGTTCCTTCAGGAGGTTCTGGTACCTGGACCTCTCCTCCTCCAGCTCCTTCTTCATCAAGAGGTTCTCCTCCACAGAACTCTGGGGAGATTCAGCTTATGATTGGCACAGGATTTGGTTATTAAGGTGTTCTTTCTCGTCCTTTGAAAGAGCATTTTCATGTTCCAGGTCCGCAACTCGCTTTCTTAGCTCGCCATTCTCCCTGCTGTGGGCACCCTCTACGACCCTGTGCTCCAACTTGGCCTTCTGTAGTTCAGTGCGTAGGCTCTGCACCTCCTCCTGCAGCTGTAGGCTGGCATCAGTCTGCTGGTTCTGCTGGTAATGTGCCAGCTCCCTCTTCAGCTTCTCCACCTCCATGGCATGTGTGGAGGTAACTGCAAACACCTGCTCTGACAGAGTCTTGAACTCTTTTTCCGGGTCATCAATCTTCTCCTGTAGCTGGACCACTTTGTTCTCCATGCCCACACTGAGGTATTTCAAATGCTATGCAGAGCGGGCCTCAATCTTGAGAGCCTTCAGCTCCTGCTTGGCCTGGAAGGCACACTGGATGACAATGGCTACATCCCACTGCTGCCGGAAATGTCTACGTGCCACCCAGCCCCAGACACACTTCTGGACGATGGTGGCTTTGTGCTCCTTGAGGACCTGGCAGTAGTTTCTTTGCACAAACATGGCCCGAGTGAAGGACTGGATGATGTCCGCAGCCCAGCAGACTCTCCGGTAGGCCAGGCAGGCCCTCTGCATTCAGTACTGCTTCTGGAACACTATGGCTGCATGGGTTCTCCGCAGGTGCTCAGCCAGCCTGCGGGCCAGGTGTCCTCTGTAGAACCTCTGCAGGGTTACAGTAGCTGCCCTCAGCCTACAGTACTTTACTTTCTGCAGCCAGTCCCTGACTGGATCATGATAGTGGCTTCCTGGAACTTCTCTACCTGAAGCTTCTCCAGGTAAGCCACCTGGCCTGCCCAGAAGATCTTGGTGTGGCCAAACTGGAACTTGTCTGGATCCTTGATGAGACTCTCCAAGACAAACCTGCAGATAATTTTCTTGTTGGTGTTGGCAAGCTCGCTCTTCTTCATCCACACGTGATACCAGTTGAAGAAGTCATGGTAGGTCCACTTGGGTGGGTAGCCAGCTGCACTGATCTTAATGGTCTCCAATACTCTGCAGTTGCTACACGGCTCTCTTTGGGTCGAAGTGAAAGAGATTTTCATCATTGGGCTCGAGGCATGGAATGTAGTGTGGAGCTGTGGCATTCAGGGTCTCCATAAGCAGGTTTAGGGAAGTGTGGAACTGGTAGCCCATAAATTTCTTGTGCTCCTTATTGGAGACCTTAATGGGGGGGTCTGGAAAAGTGAATGTTCATCTTTGAAGATGATCGATTCTTAGTTGTGTTGGTGGCAGGAACAGAGTCCTTGTCATCATAGAACAAGTCAGTCACTAGTAGGAACTTGCTGGCCTTCAGGATGTTGATCTGTTCTTCATATACCGTATCCCTATTTTTCTTCAGAAAACCATCTGAAAGTTACTCTACCTTGTCTGCAAAATGGATGACAGTGAAGGCTGTGTTGGACATTTATGGTTTCTGGAAGTGCTGGCTGTTGAAGTGTCATTCACAGAGCTTCTGGGCCCAGTTTTGATCAGCTCCTTTGGGGACCTTACACTCTTCATCCAACACCTTCACTTCTATACGTCTATGCAAGGTTGGTTATCATAGAAGTCAATCAAGGTCCATGGGACCTGCTCCGTCCTGTACTCTTCTTACTCCAGCTTGAACACATGAAACTGTTGCTTGAGCTTTTCATTGGCACGGTTGATACAAAACTTCTCAAAGCTGTTACTCTTGGTCTCAAACCTGTAGATATCCAGGACTCCGAGGGAGAAGTACTGCTTAAGGGAGGAGGAGTGCAGGGCCTTGCTGATGTGCTCCACAATGCAGGAGAACATCTGGGCACAGGTATGCTTGGCTGGGGCATCACGTGCATTGACCACCTGCCGCAGCGACATGGTCTTGACCTAGGTTGCTGAGGTGGTGACCAGCTTGCGATGGCACAGCCAGGGCTCCATCTGATTGTGCTCTACTCCCAGCAGGCGGCAGAAGTTGCATAAGTGTTCGTCCTGGGGTGGTAAGCTGCAGGAATCCCCATCATGCTCGGCCTGAATCTCCACACTTCCAAGGTGCAACATGGAAGCAATTATCTTAAAGATGCTTATCTGGGGCTGGAGAGATGGCTCAGAGGTTAAGAGCACTGACTGCTCTTCCAGAGGTCCTGAGTTCAATTCCCAGCAACCACATGGTGGCTCACAACCATCTGTAATGAGATCTGGTGCCCTCTTCTGGCCTGCTGTCATATATCCTGTATACATAATAAAAAAATAAAATCTTTAAAAAAAAAAATGCTTATCTGATGAGACTCCAGCACTCCAAAAAGTGTGAGGGCCTGTCGAGTCTTCTCAAAGTCCTCTGCATCATCGACACCCTTGATGGTCATGTTTCCTCCACGGGATGTGTAGAAAACGTCCTCTGCACAAGTTAGAGCAAGCTCTTTAAATTCAGGAAGGCTGGCAACAGCACAGAGCTGGTAAAAGATGTGGTAATTCCTCTCATCATCCACCTGAAAGACCACCCTAGACTCTCCAGCAAGTACGTCCTCATGTCGGCCCTGATGATGTGGTACTTTTTATCAAAGCCAATCTCAATGAACTTCCCAAAGTGCTGCTATTGTTGCGAGTGGTCTTGGCATTCCCAATGGCCTCCATGATGGGACTGGATGCCAGGACCTTCTCTTCAATGTTGCTATCACTGGCTGAGCCACCAACCCTGGCAAAATAGTGCATGGCATACTTGGCTGACACAGTCTTCTCTGCTCCAGACTCTCGGCTGACTATGATCAATTGGTTATCTTCATCTCTGGCCATCTGCCTATAGGCTTCTTCTGCCACGGCAAAGATGTGGGGGTCCATGTCAGCCATATTTTGGCCACCGTAGGCATAGATGACATCTTGTCCATAGATTGGCAGCTGCTCATATGGATTGATGGCAACAAGCACAATACCACAATAAGCATAGATATTGTTGGACTCCAGGAAATGGACCTTTAGGTTTTGCAGAACTGCAGGCTCATGGAGATGGCTGAGTGCGTGAGGTCATTTTCTCCTACTAAGGTATCTGGATCCATAAGAATTGCATCTATTATTTTGGACATGGTTTGAGTATTCCCAAATTGTGTGTCATCTTCCAGTCAGCTGCAGACTCTTATCCCCCCTCTTTGTATTCCTTGGTTAATTCAGCAGAACACCACACTTCATCTGGGTCAGGGATCCTGACCCTTGTAGAGCTCTCTGTATGACATGTCCCCGCGGGCCCGAGGAGGAGCCAGGGGTGCCTCTCGGGATGCTGGGTCAGGGCTCTCAGAGGCCTGGCTCCTCACTCCCCTGTGCGCTCTTGGTGCACCAGTACACCACTGGTGCAATCTTCCAGGACGGTCCCAGTTCCTCCGTGCTCCTTTCTCGGTGGACCGACCTGCCGGCTCGCTGGGGATCCCAATCCCCGGCAACCTTTACTCCCTGGGGGGGTGGGAGAGGGGGTGCGGTGTTCAGGAGTGGTGGGAGGGCGGGGAGAAGGCGCGCTGCTCCAGGCTCATACTTCAGGGCTCCCTGTTTGTCTTCACCATGACTATAGTTGTTTTCTTGATGTCTCGTGCATCTGTGCTCTTACACTTCTCTAGAGCACAGGGTATTGCTTAGAAATTAACTTCTGCTCTTAACTACAAACCTGACGATTGATATCCTCCACTGCGCCTAATTTTCTACATCTTGTAGCTGGGAGCACGCCTTTAATCCCAGCACTTGGAAGGCAGAGGCAGGTGGATCTCTGTGAATTGGGCCCGTTCTACAGAGCAAGTTCCAGGACAGCCAGAGCTACATAGTGAGACTCTGTCTTGAAGGAAAAATGAAAAGAGAAAAAATAATCATGGCAATTATCACTATCCTTTCTAATCAGTCATTTTTCTGTATGCTTGTACGTTGTGTGTTGAGCGCCATACTTCTGATGGCAATGTTGTCACCACTGTCCAGTTTTGTGCCTCCCTTCCCCAAAGCAAAACTAAACAGAGACTGGAAACCGATTCCCCACATACTAATGTTAAATCTGCAATTTTTTAACTCAGGGATCAGCACTTTCTCCTTAAAAGATCAGATAATTGTCAGGCATACTGGCACAGGCCTATAAGCCAAGCACTTGAAAAACAGAAGGAAGCCTGCCATGAGTTCTAGGCCAGCATGGACTACAGGAGGCCAACAGGGGCTACATAACAAAACCCTATCTCAAAAGCAAACAGTTTAAGCTTTGTGGTCTCCATAGTAATAACTCTGCCAAAGTAGCAAAAGCAGCTGTAAACCATAGTAGATTAACAGATGACTACACTCCAATAAGACGGTACCTCCAAAGGCCACAGAAACTGGCCCAAGGGCCATACCTAGCGTGCCAGCTCCTGCTTGACCTTATCATTAGAGCTCTTCAGTGACTGGACCATTAACTCTTTCACTTAGTACTCTCACTACGGTGTTCTTTCCGGCTTTTTGCATTAAAAAGAGAGAGACAGAGAGCACAGAGTGGTTCAGTAACTTACAGCCAGTACCAGAAGCCAGGATGCCAGGATGAAGGGTCCATTCCGTTAAAGGAAGAGAAAGCTGCCTCTCCAATGGTCAACTGTGAACAGCATAGTCACTTCCAGATCTTTGCTCAAAGTTATTCCCCTATATGTAACTATGCTCTACTCTTCCCATCCCCATAACAAATCGAATTCCCCATTTTACTGAGCCCTAATACATGTGGCCTGCACTTTTACCTGAGGCCCTTACATCGTCATGATTTTATACTGTCTTGCTTAGTGACCTTTATCTCACTGGCCTAGGCTGCCTATGTAATATCCTAGATAACTACCATAGCATCTTACCATCCACAGCCATCCATGGATATATGGGCATGAAACAATTCTAACCTTCTTCATATTTATAAAGATTAAAGAAAGTGCTCTCTTCATAGTAATTACACCATTTTTCAAAAGAAAAAAAGTATAGGCTAATCCTTTTGATCTTCCCAGCATGAGGTCTTTTAAAATCAACTGGAATATCACATTTTCATGGAAACTACTCCGAAACGTCTATTTTGTAATTTTATAGTAAACATCCTACAGGAATGATTAATTTTGGGTAACATTTGGATTTCTAGGACGAGGAAGATATAACTTAATCCTTAAACCATTTTCTGCGACCTAGATCTAAGAGAAGTCTCACTGAAAACCCTTTCAATCTTCCTCCTATAGAAAATACACACAAATATTTATACAAATTTTGCATAAAAGGGCCTATTTTTAAAAAGCTAAGAAAATGCCTCAGAGGGTCTCATATTATCTGCTCACAGCCTAAATTACTTAAATTTCCATTTTAATATAAGACATTTAAAGAAACTTCACCATATTAAAAGCATGTGGCAGGTTTTTTTTAGATACAAACTATTATACTCTAGTATCAAAAAACATAAACAAGAGCTGACGAGATGGCTCAGTGGTTAAACACTGACTACTCTTCCAGAAGACTAGGTTTTGAATCCTAGTAACCACATGGTAGCTAGTAACAGTCTGTAACTCCAGTTCCAGGAGATCTGACACCCTGTTCTAGACTCCAAGGACAAATCACACATATTGTGCATAGACACACGCAGACAAAACAACATAAAAATATTTTTAAAAATTATAATCAATGGAAAAGGGGGAAATTTATAGTGAAGAGCAAAGACATGGAGAGGAGAGGAAGAATGTAACCAGTCTTCAGGATTTCTAGTTCCTTCAGCACTTCCTGGACCACTCTGGTGGCTTCTGTGAAAAGGCTCAGCACAGGTTTTCTGTGGATCTCACACATTCCCTGGATCAGCACTGTTTACTTGATACTTTAGTTCAATGATCAATTCTTGACTCACTCACCTCTCTACCTGCGTCAGCACTCGACCGTCCTCCACATAATCCTAAACTCACTCTCACCTGCTCCCAGAGTAGCACATTCTTCTCGTTTCTGTCCTCCATTTGATACCTACCCTTCCAAGGAAAGAACAAAAAGCACCCTCTCATACCCCCCACCCCCACCCCCACTGGGCCCTTGCACCCCACTCTTCCTCTGTCCAACTGCTGACCACACAGCCCCAGGATCCCTGTTGATCTTCATCTCCAATACAACCACTTGGAGCTGTATTTGAGGATATGGAATGCTGCTGGCACTTATTTTCTTTCACCTTGCAGAAGCTCCTCGGTTTGTATAAGGGCTCTTAGCATAGAATTAATCACCCTTCCACGAGATTTGTATCAATCATTTGACACTAAATTATGTATCATTTCCTATTAAATGGTTCCTAGTATGAATGCTGCCCTAATTGTTAATTCATTAGCTCCTTATGAGTCAAGATTAGCAATGCAAGATAAACAGGAGACTCAAAATATTTGTAGAAGTTAATTGAGAGTGTTGAAGATCCCTTTCTGGTTTTTTATAAGCATGTCATACTGTGGTAGTTTGAATGTAACTGGCCCCAATTAGCTTACAGCGAGTGGTACTATTAGGAAGAGTAGCTTTGTTGGAGTGGGTATGGCCTCGATGGAGGAAGTGCGTCACTGTGGGGGGTGGGCTTTCAAGTTTTCTGTGCTTAGTTAGGATAACACCTATGTGTCATTCAATTTCCTGTTGCCTGCAAGATGTAGGACTCTCAGTTAATACTGCAGCACCACATCTGCCTGCATGCTGTCATGCTCCCCGTCATGATGATAAAAGACGGAACCTCTGAAACTGTAAGCGAATCACCCCAATTAAACATTTTCTTTACAAGAGTTGCTGTGGTCATGGAGTCTTTTCACAGCAACAGAAACCCTAACTAAGACAATTACTTATACATAACAACGGTTGATATCTTCATACGTGCATTAAACATATTTTGATCATACACACCCCTTCTACCTTCTCCTCCAGATCCCACTGATTCCCTTTCTCTTTTCACTAGTCCCCCTTCTACTTTTAGTTCTCTTTCTTTTGTGACCCAGTGACGTTAAAAGGAGGTCTCCAGATAGGAGCTTAGGCAACTTACCTTGGCTACGCCAGGAAAGAAAATCTCTCTCCTCAGCAACCATTAACCGCCTGTAGATATTATTTATGCAGGTAATATAGCTATTGAGAGTTCAAGAGTACAACAGTTGTGCCACACCCAAAGGACAAAAGCTCACACTACTTCTCTCCTTCCTCTGGCTATAACATTCTGTTTGCCTCTTCTGATGTCCCGAGCCTTGAGATAATGAGGACATCCCAGTTAAGGCTGAGCATTCACTGGTTATTTGTTCTCAGTTCTGAGTCTCTGCAGAACGTGCCACCCATTGCAAAAGAGAAGTTTCAGTGACCGAAGCGTACAGCACCACTAATCTATGGACATAAATATAAATATTAAGTAAGGTAGTTTGACAACACGACCACTTAGCAAAACAACAGTCTTAGGGCGCATGGCCTCCCCGGCTATTGGCTATTGACTATTGACTTCAGGGCTTACAGTACTAGGTGTGAATTCCCTGCTACCTAGAAAGCCTCGATCCAATCAGAAAGTTGTTAGTTATCTCCTAACTGTCATGTCATTATTGTACCACTGGGCACATCTTGTCCAGCAAGCTGATAGTGTAGCACTCACAGTCCACAGCTGAGGAAGATTACTGATGACAGTTCTCCCCCAGCCACCCGAATAGCACCTTCCTTCCGGCACTGTGAAATCTAGACAGCAGAGAGGAAGCTTCCAGCTCAATTCCAGTTTGATTTCTCTGTTCTGAAACCAAAGTATGTGGCGTCTTCAGCAACAGTATCCTGTCATCTAGTTCTGGTGGGCAACCAACAGCTGGAGCAATGACCTGTATCATTTTGGGGGCTTGGGGGTCTCCCTGACCAACTAACTACTCATAGGAAGACAGCCCATCCCTGGTGCTAGCATTTTTATTTAATAACCTACTGGTCCTTCTTTTCTGTCAAACTATCTAGATATAAAAATCCAAACTATGCATCTCAGTTCCCAACAAATTATGGAAAACATGTTACCACATAAAAGAGTCTCTAGCCATTTTCCTTTAATTAAAAGTTTTAAATAGGTCTCAATGTTTAGTTCTATTTATTTTAACCATGATTAACTCCAAGTTCACCATGGCAGTTCTTCCAAGGACAACTAAAAGGCCCAAATTTGAAATATTTAGTCATTAACCATCAAAAAGGTAAACATTAAACTGATTTTTCCTACCCACAGGTGTATAATGCCAGTACTTGGGAAACTAAGGCAGAGGATGATGAGTTTAAGGCTAGTGCGAGCTAGACAGTGAACTCAAGATCAGCCTGGGTTCTAGGGCGAGGGTCTGTCTTTCAAAAGATAAGGTGTTTTGTTTTGTTTTTCCTTATGCTACCTCTATCATATCTCAAAGCTCCATTTTAAACAACAGGAACATTTACAAATAATATACTGTGAAGTTCCTCATATAAGAAAATTAAGGTTATCTGTACCTTAATGGCCCTGGTTTTATTAATACCAGCAGCAGATAAATGATCCCTAGGTACTTCAGTCTCTGACAGCAGGAGCAACAAAAACAGATTATTCAGTAGTAGGTAAAAGGATGCTGGTTCTTACTTCATTGTTATTTTGTATTTTTTTTTCAAGAAATTTCTATCTGACAGCATTGCAAGTTGAAATTGTAACTTGCAATCAAGATCAATGCTTTGCATATTTTTCACTTTCATCTTCTAACATTACAAAGTCCAGCTGGGATGTAGGGGTTCTATCCTGGAGTCTTGAATGTTATACAAGAAAAAGTGGCGGGGTAGGTGCTCCAATTGTAAGGAACAAAGAATGTATATGCTTTGGCCTCTTAAGATAGAAATGAGAGCTCCATGAAGACTTTGTTTTCCCCTTAATGACCATGTCTTCAGCTCTGGAATGTTAATAACTGAATGCAATCTGTACTAAATAATCTGATGTCTTGGGCTATAAACACATACTTTCCCTTCCAAAAGGAAAATAAGAAGAGCGGGTGTAAGTCAATATTCAGAAAGGTTTTTGGTTTTATCTTAGCAGAAAAAAATATGTTCCTTCAAATGATATTTAGTGCAGAAGTTCAGTAAGTTAAACAGAGAGAACCTAAGCAGTAGCTTTGGTTCACTGGGGGTGGAAGCAGAGACTCATGCTCTCTCCTCATTCCCTAACCCCCAGGGAGACAAAAAAACCTTAAGTTAAAGAACTGTTTTAAGTGGTACTTGTCTGTAAGGTTGCAGGACTTGCTGAGAAAACTCAGCTTCTGAATGTACAATTAAATTGGCGTGCCAGCAAAAGGTCTTAGCTGCCATGTGACCTGAGGTAGTAAATTATCCAGGATGAGTCTGAGTGACCTTATCTGCAAAATAAAGATTACTGCATCAGATCCTTCTGAATGCTAAAGGACAATGTGAAAAGTAGCAGAAGAGTGTTTCTTACAGGAACTCTAAAACTGGGCACTTAACCTTTCCTTCTCAGATTCCCAGATAGCATTTTATATATTTAGAATTATAAACGTAAATGTCAGAGATAAATGTATAGACATGTAGATTATAGATATGTAGAGATAAATGTATAGCTATTTAGAATTATAAAGAGTATCTATCAAAGATGAATGTATAGATATGTGAGTATAAATATACACAAATACGGGTATAGTCATACAGGTCAGTAGTTAATTGGAGGAGAGAAAGCAGATTGAACCCCAAAATTACACACATACATACACACACACACACACACACACACACACACACACACACGAAAAATTATCAGTTAACAAGCAGTCAATTTAGAAACTTCCACATCAATCTCTCTATTTCTGAATGCTCAATTGTACCTATTTCTTGAGAAGTTTTTCAAAATGATTACAGTTGAGAAAGCAAGTACCATCCCGGCCCTTGTCTCATACACTGTCCTAGTTCATCTTATGCTCACACTTGGTTTCTCTTGATGGCCCACCAAAATGTCTAACGGGAAGTAGAGTTCTTTGATGTCTCTTATCTTTTAAATCTGAGTATTTTTAAAATCTGAAAGTTCTACATCTTTATTTCATGATGTCCTAATGATACTAAGATAAAACTGGAATTTTACTAAGCCTCCAAATTACTTTAAGCAGAAGACACAAAACACCCACTCTCTACCTTCCTCCATCCTTCCCTTCTTCCCCCCTCCCCCCTCTCTGACCTCAGAACAAATGTGGGAGAGAGCTGCTGGCAGGAAAGTGAAACAGCCCCTGACAACTGGGGAAGTGATACTAAAGAGCATCACAGACACTGCCCACCAGAGGGGAGTGTTGTCTAACTATTCAGAGAACTTAATCACATGAACAAAAATAAAACTACTTCCTAAACATTTCTAAGCAAAAAGAAGAATTCTCATATTTGAAGAAATATCTAATTTTTTTTCTATTTTCTATTTCTTTAGTCAGATTACAATGGCATCACAATCTCACCATCCACTGCTCACACTCACTTAGGCCTGTCTAGATCAAAGATAATCCCAGAAGGAATAGAAGACTCCTAATGTAGTTTTATATTCTGCTCAGGACTGCTTCAATCCCCACCACAAACCCCATCCTCACTTGCAGTCTGCTGCAAAAGTTCAGAGAAAGTGGTGATCAGTGACAGCCAGGGCCCAACTGCCCCACCAGATTTCAAGCCATTTTATGATGGCTCCTACTTTAAATATCTCCCTACACTGCGTAAAAACATAGTATGTTCCAGGGCTACTGGTACATGCCTTGAATCCAAGACCTTGGAAAGCAGAGCCAGGTAGATCTCTGTGAGTTCTAGGCCAGCCTGGTACCCAAAATTTTATCTTCAAAGAGGAAGTTATTGTCCTGTCACAGGGACAAAGGCCCCAAGTGTCAATGACCAGGGTGATGAAGATTATACTCCTAGTCGGTCCTTCAAGAAGACAATAAACATCTCTTATGACTAATTCAAGACTATTACCATTAAAAATATTTTGGTTCAACCCAAATAATTAATGTCTTAAATATTTAACAAAACCTTTTAAAAACTACTAGATGAAAGCACAAGAAAAATAGCTTCTTGGCACTGGTGTAGGCTATTTTGCTTTACTTTTGTATGAGACATCAAAAGCACAGACAAAATCAAAGAAAGAAAAAAAAGGCTGCTAAGAAATGAGCTGGGGGGAGCCTTTCTGCAGAGACAAGCCCCTGATAGATTATCCAATTCCACGTAGTCAGCCCTACACACACATTCTCTCTCTCTCTCTCTCTCTCTCTCTCTCTCTCTCTCTCTCTCTCTCTCTCTCTCTCTCTCTCTCACACACACACACACACACACACACACACACACACACACACACACCCCTCACAGGGAAAAGAGGCAACAAAGGGACTCAGCAGTTTGCATTTGTATATACATATGTATATATGTACAATAATAATTAAAAGAAGGCATGAAACTAAAAGGGAGCTGAAAGGGGAGAGGAAGGGATAAAAATTAAAGACAGCAGTCATATACAAAACTCTCAAAAATTATTATTTCAAATTAAAAAAAAGTAGGACCACGTCAATGTGAAAACCGTCTGCACAGCAAATTCAAATGCTGTGCAGCAAAGACATCAGTTAACAGAATAAAGAGCTTACAGAATGGGAGAAAATACTTGCCAAACAAACATCTGATAATTAGTAAATATGATGTATCTTAAATATCTCAATGCCAAGAAAACAAATAACTTGGCTTTTTTTAATGGACAGAGAATACTAATAGACAT